TCATCAAACTACCAGTCTGCCAAAGCAGTTAACAAGAAATCGGTTGGTTTGAACTAATTCAGAACCCTCAGCTGAGTCGAACAGGGTACACCACTGATGAACTTAGTGTCAAACGAGTAAAACGGTCGGTCTTCGTTGTTTGGATCAACTAGATCTGGTGAGGAAGTACTACTGGTTGATGTAGGTAGTAGTATGTGTAGCGTCACAATTATATCAGATTTTCTTTGAAAATCATGTTTGCCCCTAATACAGAACTCTCAGTCAGAGTAATCTCTTCCGGAATATTTACACTCTGTGTAGAATACTATTCATCGATAGCATACAGGACGACTCGATGTCATTTGATCTGAAACAACATCCGATTCTCTACGAATCGTTTCCTTCATTTTCTTTTCAAAGTACGCACAGCAATAGGTTGAAAGTCAACTAAACATTTTCACGAGTTCATGTTGTAATCCGGATACATAATTTGAAGATTAAAAGTACACGAAGAGGAGGAGAGAAGTGAATGCAGTTTCACTAAATGGAAATTTTGGTAGCCATTGGTTTAAGCAGGCAGATCTAGAATTCAGCATACTTGTAGTTATCACTTGATTGGACATAGGGACAGAGGAGAATTCACTCCGACATGAATGAATATCCGTAGTCCCACTGTGGGATGATGCTTAATCACAAAGGGTATAGAAAACAAAAAGGAAAACAACATAAAATTAGAAAGATGTTTGAGTAATATGTAAGATGACCTGTTCCACCGACAAAATGGTCGATAAAGATATGTTAAAGTGGAAGAAATCTAAAAGAAATTACAAGAAACTAAGTCCATGGTAGATGGATGGAATGAGATGACTAGACAAGCTTCTTTTGTAAACACAGAACTCTGGCTTCCTGTGTTAAAATAGGCTTGACAGCATACAAGAAAATAAGGACAACAAATCATAACAGTAAGACACATAGATCATCTCAAAGACTGAAGGGCTCTAAACATTTCATATGAAAATATACATTTCTAGCCATGAAAACCACACCTGAAACTTTGTTTTCATTTGTAATTATGTATAACGGAGGAAGGAGGTTTGTGTTCTCTGTGTGTGTGAATACAACTACATCGAAGTGTAATTATGTCTCTTAACTTAATTTTACGTGAATTAACAGACAAAGAAACAAACTGAATCAATTGTAATTAAAAAAGGGTTGAAAGTTGTTCACGAATCATGACTGTAATATATGGATTATAAATATTTTAATCTATATTGTGACACATGATTGATTAAATTGTGCTTACAATATGACACGTGCAATGTGTTACAATGTGCTCCAATTTATTCATGCACTAATGACCTAAGTGATACTACAAGACGAAAATATCTTTGAATGCATTTCGCTTATTTGAACTATTCATCATCGAACATGAGATGAACTATCACGCAATAGTGCTACTTCCTTATTTGAGAAGACTATAAAAGCCTGACTGTTTGAATTGTTTTCACTGTCAGCTAATAATCATTTGAGTAGCTTTTCTGAAGGATTGATATTTTCAGATTTTCAAAGAATGTCTTTGAAAGTGTTGTTAACGACAGTCTACTTGGTTTTCGTCTTTCTGTGGACCAATCAAGTGACATCGACTGGTATTCACAGCCTTCGTTATTATGGCTATAATGCACCAATGGGTTAGTTAGTAAAGTGTTATTCATCTTTGCATATATGATGATATGATTTAGCATTCATTAATGTATGTAGTGTTATGTAATTGGAAAAAATCGATTATTTTAGTAATTCTGTGTTTAATTTGTTATTTAATGACGCTGAACTCTTTCCTGCTTACTAACAGCAAATATGCGTGTCTTTCTTATTTATTCCATTTGACGATGAACTGTCAAACAGGATTAATAAACTGTCTCCCCCGTTTTCATTCAAGAGATTCCTAGTGAGGTTAGATTTTATTACAAGTCACCATCCATTAAACCACGCTTTACTTATGAAAGGAGATGGTCATGTCAAATTCGTTTATGAATTAATACAAGAACCTATTATAGTTGTCCCACGGTAACTTTTATCGGATTATCTATCTATGCTCGCTTAGAAAAGCCTAGTCAATCCATACATTTCTTTTAAAGACAATCTTACAGGTCGAGGTTTAGATTTTCATGTCAAGCATTCATATTCATGACCAGCAGATATTTACTATCCGTATTCATCAGTTCTTGGTTATAATTTACCTTCTAAGGTAGGAATGAAAGTGTTTTCGAAAATAAACAAATAGATGAAAGAGGTTAGATGAATGAAGGCAATCGGCAAGCCTTTGACCTAGGTTTCGCGCTAGTTGACACTCAACAGTCAGCAAGGCGTATCTGCAGTCACCATGAAGGAGCTCATGTCCCTTCTGTGGTTCAAAAGTGCGTCAGCCAATACCGTTTGCAGTTAGCGGATGTTACCACAGCGCTATTCAGGATTGCGATTGACCTCCATACTGTAGGACTGCACGAAACAGGGAACTAGACTTATCACAATAGTTACTAGTGCCCAATCAAAGATGAAAGAAGTATTTTATCGATTTACCTTAAGGACATGCTTCTCTCTTCAATTCGACATCCAGTAAGACTCAGCATATGCGCACGCCTACAATGTTTCTACCCTATTCAACCCAAATCCTTCGAATGTGTTATTTGGAATTTAAGGCTAATTTACGACTTATTTTCATAGATAATTCCGCCCTCCCCCACATATTAGACTACTCCGTGTATTCAGACTGATTTGAGATTTTCTCTCGGAAAATTACCACACGTGGGGATCACTTAGAAGGATACCAATACTGTGACTGATTTCTAACACAATCGAAATATTTACTGAAATTGAACTGTTGTCATATTTTTCAGAGGTTGAACGCAGATATGATGCAGATTTATTTTTGAAGGGACAGAAACCTCACCGAATAATATCACTGGGGTGACGACAAACGAAGCAGTTAACAAATCATCAAAGAATATACGGTTACCACAAACTGTATTTCCACGCTTCTATGATCTACAGCTTCAAGTTCATATTCATGGAAATGCAGATACTAAAGACTCCTATTTTAATGGATCTGTCACCATAGAGATTCAGTGTTTAGCAGCAACTGCAGAACTCTTTATTCATGCTTATCCCAATCTTAATGTCAGTAGGGATCAAATCAAAGTGAGTGATTCGATGTATACGGAAGTTTATTTTGGTTTTCTTTGATCTGTGTGACTGTAAGATGATTCGTTGTACCCTGTTGATCTCACTGCAGAAGTACTGTTATGTCTCCTTTCATTGTTCATGCTTCTCAATTAGGCTATGACGGTAACATTCGTTATGTATGAAGTTGTCGTCCATGTTGGACTCAACTGTCGTCAGTTGACAATAACACGTGACTTATCAATTCTAGTCATCCAAGTATTCACAGTTAATGCGTTTTGGAGGCCCCATACACTGCAGCCTGATGACTTATTCCTGAAAGCTTCTTCTAATCATGCAGTGAATTATGGATTACTTTTGTTTGATTATGTTGCCATGAGATCACTTAAATTAGTGGAATTACACACATTCTGAGCTTAAACTCTAAACTCATATTACTACTCGTAAGTGAAGTCCATCTAACATTTTTCTGTGTATGGAAGCTGTTAGTGCAGTAATAATTCATTGAAGGAATAATCTGCCTTACACAGTGTTTATATCGTAGAAGGAATAAACTTATCTTTCTACGACTAAGGGAAGTGGAGTGGAGACGGAAAGGAACCTTGTAGTTTCAGCTCTTTGCAGGTTGAATTAAGGACTGGTAAATTTTCAGGAGTTTCTTTTAACAAATTTCCGTCTACTATATCCCCCTTGATTGAGTCATATTTGAGGGATTTGAAACTGAAGTTATCTGAGTGTTAACTTTTCGACAATGTCATGAAATACAATTGGTGGATGGTGGCTAGCAGTGGAATCCAGGATGCGCATTTCGTTCTATTTGGGACTCGTCAGCTGGATGTACCTGCATTTCTCAGTGAGTGATGACGTTCCCACCGAGGCTCGAACCCAGTACCCATAGTTTCAAACGCCAAAGCGTTATCCACTAGACCACTTGGGCCACGAGAGCCACCTCTTGTGCAACGGGTCATATTAATTATTGAATTGAATTTTTGATTTTCCCGTCGATTGATTGGACCGAAGTGTTCGGTCTCAGGTTGACATGTCGGCTTCTTGTGCAGATGCTTCGTGGCCCAAGTGGTCTAGTGGATAACGCTTTGGCGTTTGAAACTATGGGTACTGGGTTCGAGCCTCGGTGGGAACGTCATCACTCACTGAGAAATGCAGGTACATCCAGCTGACGAGTCCCAAATAGGACGAAATGCGCATCCTGGATTCCACTGCTAGCCACCATCCACCAATTGTATACTAATTAAATACCCAGACATCGTCGAAGCATCTGCACAAGAAGCCGACATGTCAACCTGAGACCGAGCACTTCGGTCCAATCAATCGAGGGGAGAATCAAAAATTCAATTCAATAATGTCATGAAATATTTCAAAAGTAAGCCATCTGAACTGGATATAAGGCTGCAACACTGAACAAGATAAAAGCTTCGATAAAAGGATTAGTGCTTGATAGTACCTTCATGTCAAACACTGACCTTTCCCTTATAGATTAACCTTGTGGAGTTTACTGTCCACCAATTATTCAACACCTTTGCAAACGATATTGAAGGATGAATACATGGAATTCTATGCTTTGAAAATATTAAAGAAATGTACTCAGTTGAAATTCTAATTTTAGTCTACTTCATTCATTCTCAGATTTTCATTCGTTTAATGATGAACAACAGACTTTGTTGAGCTTTTACCCGTTAAACTCAAATAAGGCTGAATGTTAAATGATGAACATTCACATCAAGTAATTAAAATGTGGGCGACGATGTGCAGTAGTCTCTTTTCTATGAATAATTCAGTTTGACTCACTTTAACGACTCCCCACCATCTTGTTTCAACTTGTATAGATATTTTCAGACGATAAGGAAGATTCAAAGAAGACGGAAATTCCAATACAGACGATATCCTACGATAAAGACGCTGAATGGTACCACATACAGTTGAAAGATGCACTACAGCCCAATGCAAGTTATAAACTGATATTTGGTCAATTTAATTCTTCACTAAACTACGAACCGGTAGGATTTTATCTGAGTCGATATGCAGAAAATGGAACTTATAAGTAAGTAAGTACTTTTATTCGAGATATTTAATAATCATCGGGATTAATTTGATTTGAGTCCTCTGTTGAATATTTTAACTTAGTAAGGCTCATAACAGTGTTCTCCTTTGGATGAATTTCAAAGCAAACCTTATCATTCATAGAATGATGTGAAGTTATACGCCATTAGAGTACTCGGATTCTATTCCTATATTAAGCGCGATTCATAGTGTAGAGAGAGGGAGAGTGCCAGTAGTGCACTGACAGATTTTACTCTGTCTTTCACACATGAACAAAGAAGGTGTGAATAGGACTTCTTAACTCTTTACGGCTTAATTACCTACCATAATAAACCTTTGTTTCATACGATGTGTTAACACAGTGCGGAAATTTGAAACGTGTTTAGTTCCACAATATTTCGTCTTCGTACAGGATTTACACATAAGCTAGTAATCTGAAGTATATCATGTGACGTAGTGTTGTTGTATATGAAGACAGGGTCAAATCCGCATATTTTGTCTTCGTTTGCCTCAAGAAATGCACAATGTTCTGTTGAAAGGCGATTGAATATGTCCATGAGTTGGTGTAACAATCCTCTGATATAAGTGCATGATTAAAATGCAGAAGACTTTAAGCAACATCTCCTCAACGTGCGTCCGATCAATACATCTCCATTTTCTTCTAAATATTTGTTGATCGATAGGTGCTTGGTTAGTTTGTCGGTGGCCAGCCTTTTCGTGTTATTAATTCTTCCTGGACATCTCATCTCCACTAAAAAGCAGTTGTTTACAAAAGTCTGCAAACCGTTGGCAAATGCTTTTCGGTGATGTGAAGCTAAATGAAAATTCGTCTATTTCCGATCAATTAGATACTAGAAAAGTGATAAATGGATGATGCCTGCCTGCCTTTCATTCTTGTTATGAAAACGCTACTCTTGTTGACAGTGAGTGACATATACATGATAGGTCAATGAGACTCCTGTCTTATTACCAGATCATTCAAAAAGGCACACACTGGAGACTGTTTCATGTGTGGTGAGAGCAGGCTGCTAGCCAATTGGTAGACAATAATTTACGTCAATGTCTAGGTCACTAATATTGGCCGTGAGAAAATATGAACAAGGCTGATTCAACAACCAATCGCGGCAGACTTAACGTGGGCAAATATGATTCGCAGATATATGGCTTAACTTTCCGAGAAACCAGTCACCTTGAGCAAGCAACAACGAATCAGAAGACTGTGTTTGTCTGCTTGAATAAGCTATAATGATGTACATGAAATATATATAAATACGTGCTGATTTCCGTAATGAAGCGATCTGTTGCCGGCCCTTGTATTCTGTTGTCACACATGTATCTGAAGTAACCGGAAAAGCATTGAAAATCAATGTCTCGGTTTTTAGTCTGAATAAATCATACTGTAAATTTGCAAACTGACTAAGGTAAGTAAAATTAAATCTAACCACAGATTTCCAGGAAAATCCGATTATCGAATCTGCACAGACTTGAAGATATGTTGGTGGTCGTATACGTTAACAGCGTTTACTGTAAATATCCTATTTTTGTCACTGCAAACACATTTTACAAAGACACAGTAGTGATTCATAATTGGTTGGCAATTCATGACGCCATTAAGTAGTATGTTTTCCCACAAAGCAATCTAAGTGTCACAATAAATCAATAAATTAGGAAAAAGTAGCTAAACACCTGCGGTATCTTTGCCATATTCGATAGGAATATCTTTTGAAGGCCTACTTCAAATTCAATATGTTCAGCATGTTTGCATTGGGAATACATCTTGATTCAACAGAACATGACTGAGATTGTTACTGAGATTTTCCTTGAATTTTCGAAACAACTTTATTCCTTCAATTTGTATTACGATTTGTTTATCGTGATGTGCTCATTTCTCAGCCTCTCTCTGTCTCTCTCTCTCCTTTCCTAACTGGTTATGCACTAAAATTCACTTGACATTTTGACGTTAACACAACGACGTGTATGCTGAGGTATTTTGTAATTATCATGAATTGCTCACTTTATTGCTCCCCTCTCTCTTGTGCAAAAGTGAATAGAATAATTAACATCGAATCATTCACAAACACTTTCAATTAACTCGATATGCGTCGTCTTTATTTCAGGTACTTAGCAAGCACACAATTTGAGTCAACTTATGCAAGACGTGTATTTCCTTGTTGGGATGAACCTGGATTTAAGGCCGTGTTTCAGGTATGTATACTATTGAGGTTCTTGTGTATTCTCTTTTTCTGTTTAATTGCGAGGTAGTTCATTAAGAGTAAAGAAAAATGCTATGTTGCCTCATCTGTGGATATGTGAAGGAATTTACGATCTATATATGTGTATAAGGATCTAGAATAGGTGTGTAGTCAATGGACCATAATTTCACAAGGGAAGCCAATTTGATTCATTTCAGTCCGTCAGAAAATATGCTGTGGTTATTAAGCAAGCCAAAGAATCGTCTATTGTTCCATTGATGATTAGTTCTTTCATATATCACTGTACGAATGAGTTACTAAGTATGAAGCGAGAATATGGGTTGTCTTTTATGGAATTCTAGCAGCGATCTATGGACAGGGACACACTCAACGTTATCTATTCGATTCGTGGATAGATCAGTGTGATGTCAAAATAATCTACAGTTGGAAGTTTCAAGTACTGGTTTGTAGAGATTTGATTGATTGGTTACAGAATTTCATCATGAGCTGACATCGGTTAGAGGACCTTTGGAAAACTAGCTGAGAGTACTGGACAGTCGGTTGTTTGGTCGTAGTATGAGACTTTTCACAACACGTACCTACCGAGGTCTGAACTCAGGACCTTCTTTTAACAAGGCGAGGTCGTAGACCCTTAAGCCACTGGGACCCGATCCAATGGCCAGCCCATGAATTCCTACTTCCGTCAATTCACGAAATAGCGCGACTACTAGCGAATGTCATCTGTGGCGAGTACTTGTCCTCACACCAGACCTGCCATACCCTACTGGTCATGGCTTCCCATTAGAACCCGAGGTAACTACCTACCTGAATAAGGTCAGTCGCTAGGCAGTTTGATTTTTCCTTATTTCGGGTAACTAGGATCGATCGAATCAGAATTATATTCATACACTAGAATCATTCAACGTCTTCCAGTGAAAAAACATCTATTGATCATTATGTTTGTATGTATTAAGTACTTGATGAATGTACATAGGTGGAAGGGCACAGTCGAGGGCTGAAGAATCCGTTCCGCTCTTTAAGGGCATTAAAGTGCGTCTTCTCGCGATATTTCTACGTCTTAAAAGAACTCATGAAGTAAATTTTTGTTTGATTACAGTTGTTTTGAATGACAAAGCATTTGTATGTTACACATTTCCATGTCGGAAACACTTTTTCTATGTGGTTATGAACTTCAACTTCTATAAACAAGTGTTAATTGTTCCTCTCTTACAGGTCACCATCATACGCCACAAGGATTTCTATACACTTTCAAATATGCCTGTTAACAACACGGTGGCGCTTCACGCTGACTGGCGTCAAGATCAGTTTCAACCCAGTGTAAAGATGTCTTCATATCTGTTGGCATTTGTAATTTGCCAATTTCATGGACTTCGTGTTGTGGATTCCAAGGGAAGAAATGTGAGTAGTATGGAACTGAGTAGGCTTTTTCAAAGTATTTCCTGCTTACATCATTAAGCACTCATTTATTATCCTGGTGTGTGAAGTAAGAATATTTGTGTATTTGAAAGGTACAGTCGGTTCTGTATGACGTTACTTTCTCTCTCTCTTTCTGATGTCATCATACAAATGCCTGGGGATATTTCAAGAAAGTGAGTGTCAGGTAAGGGCAGGTATGTGGTGCATACTTTTAATTCTTATGTTATACAGGCGGATAACTATAATTCTGTGTTTGTAAAGCATTCACTTGTTAACGAAAATTAAACAAACACGTTATGTTGACGTATGACTACGTGTGAACGAAAATGACAATGTTACAGTAAGGTGAGAGGTGTCTGAAATTTCCGAAAACAGAAGGATATTTCATCGACTACAGGTGCTTTATATGCAAATCTCTGAAGACATACAAAAAGTGACGTTAGGCTAAATACTGTCTGTGTTGTTAAATGCTAACAGATCAGTATCTCCTTTATGACTTTCCTTTCTGGAACAACAGATACTAGTGGAAGAATGTGTGTTTTCTCATCTTCCACAACGAATCATCAAGTAACTTTTAAATGATTACAATATCTCATGCACTTAAGACAATGTCATCCTCAGACTCATGTCTACCTAACTGTTTCCTATTCACCTTCCCCTCGAGAGATTGCCTGTTTGGCGTGTGATGTCGCACAAGGGTCTTCTCAGAGTGTGTTTGATCCATTTGTCTTATTTTGGGGTACTTGTTGGGCGATAGGTTCTTGGTTGGATCATTCCTAGAGTTCATTCTTTCCAATGCTTTCTGGGCATTTAAACTTCAGTATGTAGCCACGGAATATACGTTTGTCAGCACAACCTGACTCATCGTATGTGTTTATCACAAATCCACATCTGGTTTCTGACTATCAGTAAATATCTTAGTTACTTTATGAGGAGGTCATCTCATTCTCCTAAATATTCATCTGTTTCATTACTTTATGTTCTTAGAATTTAATTGTGATGAGACTATTTGATTCCTTGTAGATTTCAGTAGACTTGATATTACAAAGTAACAGTTTCATCTTTCATCAGCTACTTCAAAGTATAGAGATTGTCTCACAAATGGTGATTATTATTATTAAATTATTATTATTATTATTATTCACTTGGGTTCTCAGTGGAACATATGGCTTAAACAACAGATCTCCACTTCGTTCCGTTTTCTCCCGTCTTCTTCACACGGGTCCAGAATCAGCGATAATCTCTCATCTCTTCCTCACACGATCTCCTTCACGTCACCCTAGGACGACGCACTCGTCGCTTCCCATTTGGATTCCGTTTCAAGCTTGAGGAATTTTCTTCATAAAATTTTCTGTTTGCGTTTTTTAACACATCTGAAGTTGGGTGATATACAAAGCACTGTTCATTATCTTTTGCATTTAATCAGTTTACTGTTTGGGCAAGACCAGAGAAAATTGAATCAGCCAGGTATGCTTTGGATATCGGTAGAAGAATTCTTACATTCTTTGAAGATTACTTTGGAGTGCCTTATCCACTTCCGAAAATGGGTAAGTATTTTCTCTGTTTCGTTCTTTTCTTCTCTTCATTCATCTCTGGATGGGAGGGGAATTATTCCGGAATTGGCTGAATATCATATCTTCCACTTCATTGTCATCAGATACACCTTCTGATTTATTGATTTACTTATTGATTGTATTCTTTCAATCCTTTGCATTTCTAGTGGAATATAGGGCTTCAACCCTGGAGCATTTTGAAGCTTCAGTAGTAGTGTTGTTGATTTTTTGCTGGTTGTAAGGTTCCCAGCTGAACCTACTTCGCCGGGACTACTATTGATTATGACAGGTTATCAAGTTCGTTGACCGGCGTTCGAGCCAGGTTCACTTTCGTTTTAGTTGGTGAGTATTTTGCCACTGCACCAACAGATGCCTGTTTCAATAAAGTGTAAAGAATGATTGAAGTGGTATGTTGACGATATCCGGTGAGAACAATGAAATAAATTGTGGAAAAACACCCTCCTTTGAATTTTCTGTAAAGTTATTACTAATGATTTAGATTCTTTATTGTTGGTGTTGTCATCATCTTGCACATGTTTGACATACGTGTCGTCATTACTATTACTATTATTATCACTATTATTATTAATATTATTATCATTATCACTATCGCTGCTATCATTATTTATTTGATTTTTGCATTTCCCTACAAACTCGCTGACTAATATGTCAGGGTAATTATTACGTTTCAAAGCTTCTCTTATATGCCTCACTTTCTGTCTTAGATTTTCTTTGGTACTACCTAGTTTTTGTGCTCTATTACTGAAATATTTCAACAATCCTGTGTTTACTGACATAGGATGGACTGACTGGAACCAATAAATAATGATAGTAGTGATACTGATAATGGTAATAATATGAATAATAATAGTAATAGTAATGACAACACGCATTTTAAACATGCGTAAGATGATGACAACACCAACAATAAAGAATCTTAATCATCAGTAGTAATTCCATACAAGGAAGGAACCTCGGAAACTTTACGCAGAATTTTTAACAAGGCAGCAATGAAAGTGGCTGGCATTCAAACCAACCACAAACTCAATCAGAAACAAGCTTTGTCGGTTAAAGGATCCCGCCAGTAGAACCTTTAGAACAAAACAATTTAGTGTATCTAATACCCTGCCCGCAATGATTGTCAAGTCAAATACATGGGTCAAACTAGTAAAACAGGTGCAGTGAGTAAGACTATCCGAATATAAAAACCTACCAGCGAAATCCAGATTAGCTGACTCGAAAAAGATAAGAAATCTAGAGAATAGTTCAGCTATACCACTCGCTACATGCAATTACACACACACAACCATACAATAGGCTGGATGGGATAGGATGACAGTTTTGCAATCCAATGTGACAGCTGGGTGGAGGGAGAAATTGATAAGTGACTGTGGCTTTCAGGATTGCATCATGAGCTGACATTAGTTAGAGAACCATTGGAAAACCTGGGAGTACTGGACAGCTGTTTCGTCTTAGTTTGGGACTCTTCTTCAGCATACACCCACCACCATGGTTCGAACCCAGGACCTTCCGGGTACAAGGCGAGCTCGTATACCATTAAGCCACTGGGACCCGATCCAATGGTCCTTGAATTCTAACTCCTGCCAATTCACGACATGGTGCGACCGCTAGCCAATGTCTTCGGCGAGTATTTTTCCTCACACCCGACTCGCTGCACCCTATTGGTCACGACATCCCACTGGAACCGAGGTAACTACCTACCTGAATAGGGCCAGTCGCTTTATTTAATTAATCAACTGCAAACACGTGTAATGGGAATGATTCAACACCTATCCAGCTGGACATCTGGAAAATTCTACTACCCCAACCACGACAAATAGGAGAGAACAAAGAAAACTATAAAACTCAGGTTTTCAAGTCATATCATCATAACCGATATGATTATGAACAATAATAAATTGATTTTGAAACTGTCTTTCGGTAAGTAATACTGTTTCACCAACTGTGTGATATATCTAATAAACGAACTAATATGGAATTACTTACTACCACAGTGGCCAAGTTTTACACATATATTAATGTGACACCAATATAGAAAAGCTTTCCGAAAGATCATTTTTGATTTTCCTAATATCCTAGGATTATTTCAAACGAGTAGTATAATATATCGTTCAGACTCGGCGCTCAAATTCTTCTAGCAAATTTGCAACAGCTATGATCAGGATAACTACAAAAATAATTAGGCGGCGTGGTTCCCTAAAGTTACCTTCAGAATAATGAAATAAAGATTGTGGACTGAGAAGATTACTCAAAATTGTTTTTTTCGTTTGTATTTGAATTTAGATTTGATTGCAATTCCTAATTTTACATCTGGCGCAATGGAAAACTGGGGTCTAATAACATTTGGAGAAAGTGCACTGTTGTGGGATCCGTATACTGGTTCAGCTGCATTGAAGGAATGGGTGACAACTGTTATTATTCATGAATTGTCTCATCAAGTAATGACAATTTCATTGAATTTTGGCTTTTCCGGTCGATTGATTGGACTGAAGTGCTCAGCCTCAGGCTGACATGTCGGCTTCTTGTGCAGAAGCTTCGACGATGTCTGGGCATTAAATTAGTATTTAATTGTTGATAGTGACTAGCAGTGGAATCCAGGATGCGCATTTGGTCCTATTTGGGACTCGTCGTCATTTGGGTGAACCTGCATTTCCCAGTGAGTGATGATTTTCCCACCGAAGCTCGAACTCAGTGACCGCAGCACAAGAGGTGGCTCTCGTGGCCCAAGTGGTCTAGTGGATAACGCTTTGGCGTTTGAAACCATGGTCACTGGTTCGAGCCTCGGTGGAACATCACCACTCAATGGTAAATGCAGGTACATCCCACTGACGAGTCCAAAATAGCACGAAACCCACATCCTGGATTCCAATGCTAGTCACCACCCACCAATTAAATGACAATTTCAATTTGATTAAATTGTATTTTTCTGTTGTGTATGTATAACTGTGATCTACTCTAGTGTTGTTTGTTTCAATGTAGCATCGATGAAATGCTACACGATATATATTACTGATTGATGTGAGTAATAAGTAGTCATTCTCATTAGTCACCCAATGCTCGTTAGCAAAGGTGAATTAATCTAAACAAATTAATCAGTGCTGTTTTGGTGGCGAATCACCAGTGTTTATTCTTGATGTTTTGAAACTACTTATATTAACCAGTAGTATAGTGAATGAACCTAAACGAAGATCGAAGTGTGAAAACTAACTGCCATCTGAATTTTTATTCATTTGCCCCTTGATCGGAAATACTTCTGGAACTGTCTTACCCAGTTACTTTAAATACACGAATGTACAGCCTAGTTTATGAATTTATCTTGAAGAAAATTTTCCTCACTCCAAGCTTCCGTTTAATTTAATTAGTAGTATATGTGTAATGACAGAAAACAAGGACCAGGCAGCAGATCATTTATTGAAAAAATCAACAGATGTTTATACATTTTCATGTACATAATTATTAGCGTTATTTTTAGCAGAGAGGTGACGTCTTCCGATTGGTCGATTTTCTGTTGAAGATTATTCTGTCATCTCCGTTTGTGTTGCCGTTTCTTAGACAGTCTGGTGATATATTTGCGAATCGTATCCGCCCACGCTAAATCTACTATGATTGGTTGTCAAGTCCCTCAAGGTTAGGCTTTGTTCTTGTTTTCTCTCATGACCCCGATTCGGGAGGTGAACATTGACGTCAATTGTTGTTGTCTACATTTTTTGTGGTTTGCAGACAGCTCTCACCACATATACTTATACACTGAAGGAAGGTGACTATGACTAACTTTCACATTAGATAGGGAAAAATAAAAGAAGATTTATTTTGGCGTGAGTGAATATTAAACAACAGCATTTTACATTCTTACTGTTTTCAAATTTTAGTGGTTTGGTAACTTAGTGACGATGAAGTGGTGGAACAACCTCTGGTTAAATGAAGGTTTTGCAAGTTTTTTTGAATACACTGGCACAGACTTTGTTCAACCACACTGGAAATACGTAGGTCGCTGCTTTATCCTAATTATTTCTTATATAATTTACTAATTCCTATTGCAGCATTAAGAACACAATATTCAGCGAAGAGGCTCTTTTCAACGAATTTATCATCAAGCTGTACACCCGTATATATATATATATATATATATATATATATATATATATATATATATGTATATATGGTTTTATAAAGAAATTATATCCGGTGAGGGAATTACGTCAAAGGTGTGAATACATGAAATAGTCATAGTGTTAAAATGCAATTAAAAAATTCGTGATTATAGTCATAGTTTCAAGTAAAGTGGCAAAATAATTAATGGGATATATAGAATAATACATAAGGTGTATAGATGTTGTTGTAAAGGGCTACATAATTATAGGATTAGCGAGCGAATATAAAATGTTACATAACATGGTGAGAAATTTGATAAGATAGAATTTAATATTGTAAAAATAAAAAAATTAATAATTTTGGGTTTAGAATGACAAGTGGGTCAAGTGGAAACACTTAAGAGTGAGAATAGTACTGATATTAATGATAATGAGAATAATCGTAGTAATAAGGGAAAAGTACAGAGAATAACTAAATAAACGAAATCAATAAATGTCTCTCTCCCTACGGCCAAGGCAGAAGTAGGCATTGCATATATTTCTTTAGTACACAAACGTTTGGCTTAAAGTCAGGAATTGCCATGGAACACCTGACCGACTTCTGTCACTCGGTCAACCCTGACCATAATTTCAAGATCTTCGATCGAATTAATGCTAACTTCCCACGTTCTCTTCGCTACAGACTTCTAAAGACAGCTGAGACCTTGAAAATTCATGACTTTAAGCCAGACTTTTGTGAACAAAAGAAGTATGTATAAGAATTGAGCTGTTTGTCATGTCAGTTAGATTGAAACTGATATTTCCACCACCAAACTATAATTAATACAATATCTTTTATGCCAAACAGGATGAACAGTTCATTTTTAACGATTTGCAAAGAGCAATGATCTCAGATGCCTCGATAGAATCTCATCCTGTTATTAATTCAGCTAACTCTCCAGACGAGATCGAGGACATTTTTGATACAATAACATACAGTAAGGTCAGTTTGACATTATTTATGGTTGACATTTATTTATGAGCGCTTTTTTATAAAACAGGTAGAGGTAAAGCGTTATTGTACAGTCTGAGTAAGTTGTAAATGTTAGTATCTGATGTATTGTGACCGCTTGAAAGTCGGTTATTCAGAGGATAACACGTAATCAGAGAAACAGCTATCCTCACATGGTTGTAAATGATCAGCAATCCTCTCTACCATCAGGTCTTTCTATCAGAAGAGAAATCAATACCAATATTAAATGCTCAACTATACAACCAGTAAAGTCAAAGAAACAATGACCACTTGCATATAAAGTGACAAAAAAACTCAAAGTTTCTATATGGAGGTGGAATTTTAATAATTTTCAATCTCACTTTGATCTTAAACGGTTAGTCCGGATTTAGTTGTGCTGGATCTAGTTAACAGACTTAAGATTCGATGTATTTCGGCGGGATTTTGCATCCGATAAGAAATTGCTATTTTCGAGTCATAGACTCAATCGAACAAATATCAGAGGGGCTGTAAAATTTACTTCCCAACAAAGGGAAGAATGTGAACTATTCAATATTATAAGTAGTGTAGTACAAAGTAGCTTCAAAAATGGACTGTACTGATATCCAGGTAGTACAGTTTCTAACAGAACACACCTGATATATGAGGAGAAAATATGAGGGGTAGGCGAACTGATGGAACCTGAATGACACTTTATCTAAGATGTATGCAGAAGAAGTCATTTGCCTGGAAGTGTTTCAATGCAGTGTGTATGTGTGTGTGGCATTTTATGTATGCTGATGGTATCAATCTATACGAATCAGTGTTGTTCAATGGTGTGGTTGTCGGCGGGAATACAAGAGTTTGTTAAGTTGACATCTGGTAACCAGAAGACTGAAAGGTGGGAGACAACATCAGATAAATTGATTAACTTAATAAGAGTGAGTTGCTTTATTGTTTGAATTGGGCGAGTATCGGATTTAAATTGCTTACAAAATGTAAAGTATGAGAAATTTCCGGAACACTCAAGTTTCACTAATGGAACCTGGCTTGTAGGATTGTTTCGTTACATCACATCGGGGTATCACAAATACCTTCTCAGCTGCTTTTGCATTACAGTTGCTGCGATATAAGTGAAGTGAAATCAGAGTATTTGAATACTCGATATCTGATTACTTAATATTTCTTTTCACAACAATAAAATCAGTTTATATAATGGTGCAAGGCTTTGAACTGGTGTATTCTGTGGTGTTAAAATAAACGAGCAAGGCTTTAGACATACTGTTTATGTGCACAATATTTCATGAATTACAGTCTTCTATGCTTTACCAATTTACAGGGTGCTTCGTTAATCCGGATGATGAAGTCATTTCTTGGAGATGATGTCTTCTTAAATGGCTTGAAGGTGAGTTACGTTTCGATTCCTTACACAAAAAGCATTTGTTTCTTATGCGTTTGAAAACTGGACGTAGTTGAGGTGCTTTATATTTGGCCAAAGTGTATCTTTTTAACTCTGCATACTGTTTAGTACTAATCTAGTAGTAGACGTGAGCATCACTCGACAACTTCGTCAGCTTTATCCATTTCCGTGAATTTTCATATAAAATCATCACTCTACGTGTAGTTTTCTGTCATCACTGGTAGTTTGTAAACAAACCAGCTAGGCGTCTTATTTTTCAAAAGTATCAGACATCTGCAAATGCGCTTTGCAAAGTGGACAGTTCCCTTCACTGATTCACCTTCAGGTAACTTAAATTTTATTCCCGCCCGACTTAAAGGGGTTGATTGTTAGGCAGACCTACAGATTTGAATCGACCACTTGTCTTGTTTTAATTAATTCTCTGATGGCGGTCATTCATAAATATTTAATTGATAAACATTACACAACAGATGGTTTAGTTAAATTGAGTTTAGTTGAGAAGAATGTGGTTTTTCAGGAGAGATATATGAAAGTGGCGTATGTGAGACTCTACAAGTATGAGAACTGTAGAATGAGTATATGATAATATTAAATAGTTAGTAGTGACTAGTTGTGAGTAGCATCTTTCATTTTTACAGGTGCCTTAGATGGCATCTACTTCATATGAGCCTAAGTGGAAGTCAGTAGTCAAAAGCAGCATTAGGAAAACTGCATTTACATGTTACAACTTCAGGTTGGTTAATATTCACAATGTCACTTTTCTTTATTTCGACAAGATCTACTTACAAGAAAACAAATATAAAAATACGGACGCGGAAGATCTATGGAAGGCGCTGGATCGTGTAAGTTTCTGCTTTTAAATAAATAACAACTCACAGTAAATGTTTTGATATTTTGATGGGTGATGTATTTCTGTCATATCCCCCATCGTCTTCTTTCAGTTTTGTTCAACGAAAACTTCTAGGCGTTTTGTATTTCTGAGGATACAGCAGACTTTCAGGTCGTTTACAAGTTGCGGTGATTTTCTTCAATCGTAATAATCGTTATTATTGTTTCTTTCAGTCCCTAGAGGAACATAGGGATTCACTCGCATGTCTCCAATATGCTCAGTTCTCTGCCAACGTTTTCATCTGGCTCCACATCTCCCCAAATTCTTTCATCTCCTCTTCGCACGACGTCCTCCTCCATGTCACCCTGTCAGTGATGACCAACTCGCCGCTTCCCGTTTGGGTTCAACCAGGGCGATGACCTGGTGTGTGATGTCATTTGATGGTTTGTCTTCTCAGAGTGTGGCCAACCCACCTTCAGTTCTTCCGGCTTATTTGTTGCACAATGTTTCCTGCTGGGTTGATTCGCTCATTGCCAGAAATCCCCCACTGTTGCCGATCTTTTCTGGACGGCCATCTGATCTCGAGTGAAGACAGCTGTTGATGAAGGTGTGTAGTTTGATCGAAGTGACCATCGTGACGTGGAGCTGAGTCTCTGATCCGTGTGGTAGTGTTGAATTTACATTGTAGTTGAAAATCTGTATCTTATTTTTAATGTTGAGTGTTGTTGATCTCCACACAGACTTGAGAGAAATGAAAGCTTGCCTTGATTTCTCAATCTTTGCTTTGATATCCTCACCAATTCTGTCCGCCTGAAACGTTGCTTCCCAAGTAGGTAGGTAGGTAAAGGAGGCTGCTTCTTTCAGATTCTTCCCATTTATGCTGATTGTTGCCATGTTGTTGTTGCTGTTGGCCAGGAATCTTCGTCACCTCTGTCTTCTCTCTGTTTACTTGAAGTCCCAGCTTCGATGCTTCTTCAAACTTGTTGCTTTTCATTTGCATATCTTAAATTTTATGTGAAATCAGGCACATATTGTCGGTGGAATCCAGATCCTGCAAGCTTTTGGAGTGGGTCCATTTTATGTCTGGCTTCTCGTTGCCCTCTGTGTGTCTGTCGCACTGTCCAGTCTACCACAATCAGGAAAATGACTGAAGATAGAGGGCAGCTAGCCAGCCATGTCTTACTCACGTCTTTACTTCAAAGGATTCCGTGAGTTTCATGTTGTGGATTACTGGGCATACAGCATTGTCGTACAGGCGTTGGATGAGGTGTATAATTGTTAGCATCACCCGTTGGTAGTAGCGAAGTATTTTCCAGATCACCTCTTGATAGACGCTGTCTGCTGAAGGCCTTTTCAAATTTGATGGAGTTGAGATAGAGAGCTGACTGTCATTCCAAGCTCTTTTCACTGATTATTGTAGTGATGTGATTTGATCGATGCACGACTTGTTTCTCCTGAATCCAGCCTTTTCCCGTCGAAGTTTTTCATAAAACAACGAGGTACACGGGCGAAAGTAACTCATACAGAGGAACTTATAGAAAGTTACTGAGTATGATAGTGGTTACTGTTTTCATAATTTAGTAGATTTGTTCGTTATAATTGATCGTCATCACAGTACCAGATTCTTACAGCTTTTGTGGGCACAGTTAAACTTTGCAGTATGCAGAACAGGCTTGAACAACTGTCTGTCATATAAATATTACGGTGAAAATATTGCGATACAACTCTAAGGAGTTCACGTAAGATTAATGTATCCATATTCATAAGAATCTACTGAAGTGAATATCCGAAACGAACTTTTACTTCATTAGAGATAGTTTCTTTCATTATCTAGATCAGGGATGTACTATTTGTCAATAAATCTGATAATATAGACGCATGAGATTAAGTCGATCATGCCTAAATTAGGGCAGCCTACCAGGGGAATCGAAGATGAGCATTTCATTCTATTTGTAGCCCATCGTTCCGATGGAAGCGCGCCGCCTACATTCAACTGAAGCGTTGAATAATAAGATGATATCCATTCCATGAATTTATATGCCAGTCACCATCAAACTATTGTGGAACGTATTTCTATTTGAGCAATTAATGGTTCGTGGTGTATTTTATGCTAGTGAAAGTCTCCTCAAAAAAAGTAGTCGATCGTGAGACACCAGAATGGAAATTAGAGGATTACGATTAGATATCATATTCGCTTTCATGCTTAGAGTATAACTAGATTGTGGTAACATAGTCATGAATTATAATCCATGAATACTTGAATTAATATGTCAGTAATGTGTGAGATGTGACTGCAGTGATTAACACTACATCCAAAAGGTGTTTCATTTCACTAAATGTAGAGTTATTCGCATTTTCTGTCTTATCTCAATTAAATCAAGAATTGAAGTGTAGGTTGGCAAATCAATTATTCGGCGATTATTTCTATTTATTGGTGTTATACTACTTTGATATCAGAAAGAGGTAAGCTACCCTAGGAACTGTTTGGAATTCACTCATAAAATACAATTCCAATGAACACGCTGAAAGTAACCATTTTCTTAAATACTATGCTGCATTAGGCTCTTATGATTAAAAATACGTGTACAGTTCAAATGTAATGGGGTCTAGTTTTGAAATTTTAGGCGGTCAAAAGTGTCAATAAAGACATCGACATCAAATCGATCATGGATACTTGGACAAAGCAAATGAATTATCCAATTTTGATTGTTAACCGAAGTGATTCCAACACCTTCGATTTCAAACAGATTCATTTCTATGAGTCGTCTAATGATACTCTTTCGCCATCCCCATACAAGTGAGTGGAGTGTTTTTCATCAATTTCTTCCATCTCGCCAAATAGATGATGGTGCCTTGTTGGATTTTATGTAACATTTATCTCGATTTCTCGTCAGTAATAGGATGGATATAGGAAGTCTCATTCCAGAATTCATGAGGTAGTAAAGGGATGCATCATTTGAAATTCTTCTATAATTTGCTCATTCAGAGCAAAATATTCTAACTGATTAAAAGTGTCCATTAAAATTTTCAAAGTATACTCCTTTCGACAACCTCCTTTTCATCAGGTTCTACATTTATATACACATAATATGGAATGAATTAGTACTATTAACAACAATAATGTTGAAAGAACATCGAATCAATAACAATAATTATATCAGTGGATTACAGTTTGATAGCATCAACAACATAACAATACACTGAATATCAGTTAAATTAAGAAAAATAAAAGTACTACAAATTCATGAATTAATAGTCTTTACTGAAGGCCGGATAGGGCAGTAGTAGTGGCTAGCTGGACCTGTTTCTTCTGAGCACAAATCACCGGTTGTTTCAGGAGAGTCGCGATAGCCTCTGCTGTTTTGAGCATGCGGTACTTCGATGTTTTTGGCAATTTATCTGGCACCCAGTGGATGATAGAGAATGATTCTTCAATGCTGGCTGGCTTTGTGGCCGGCCTGTTTGGACCAGGTGATCTAATATTGAACTGTTGATGGTTTTTACTACACCTTTATTTGACCAAACTGGTAGATGTCTCCTAGCGATCACGAAAAATCAAGTTCCTAGAGCAACGGTCAGTATAACTCGCTCCACAAGCACAGTTAAATTGGTGAATACAATTAGAAGTCCCTAGTCTAGGTACTTTATCTTTCAGTTGGGGAATCACCACCGGTCGTGTATAATATATGACTGGTAATTTGCCAGAATTAAAAGTTCTTTAAACTGATTTTCTGAACTTCTTCGTAATTATTTCGCTAGGTTGAGCGCCCTTGAATTCCAGTCATTTGTATTCAGGCTTCTTATTTACAGATGAAGAATAGTTCTTTTCTGCTTTCTTGGTTTTGTCTTTGCTGATGAGTTTGTCTGGATAGCTATTTTTAATCAAGGTCTCATATACAATCCTTCGTTCATCTTCAGTTACCTCTCCTAAGCATATAATTCTAATCCTGTGGCTGAGGGTCTTTACCTAATTTCTTTTGTACTTGAGAGAAACGAAGCTGTGAAAATGTGTATATTGTCCTGTCCATGTAATTTTGAATATTCCTTCATTCACTAGTTTATATGACTTAAAAATTGTCACTGTTTACAAATCTCCTTTAAATGACATGTGGAAAAGTTCGTAGTGAATGAGAAATCTTAAATTTTACTAAGATACAGAGCATTCCGTCACCTTCCAGAAACAGTTCACAATAGCGAATAAACTTTGCGCTTTGATGAGGGATTATTTAGAAGAGAAGATTGACAAATACCCCTACTGCTCTGCAGTTAAACATTTGCACTAGTAGATGTTTGTCATGTCCATGTTTCATAACTGTGCAACAGAAGAACAGATCCTTACAATAAGCACATTTAGATATTCTGAATGGTGAAAGAAGACGTACATGTCAGATACTGTCATCTTGGGCAAAACGATTTGCCATTCAGACTTCTTTTAAAGCCAAATTATTTAATAATAATTTACCGGCCATTTGAATAGTTCATTTGAAAAATGTTCTGCATCAAAAATGCAGTGTGAATATGTAAATCGCAGTTCTAACATGCTCGTCAAAATGGATCAGACTGGCTGGAAGAAGCAGCAAATTAGATTAGGTAATCTGGTGGGCAGTGAACATCATATCAAAATGGACGTAAACTTTTCAGTAATTTATAGACTGTCTGAAAGGTATACAATTGCATCTCATTTACTTGACTGAATCGTGTGTAGTAACAGAAATAAACTGGTATTACGCTTCTTATTATTAGGTGCATTGAACTACTACGTATTTATTGGTGTAGTATGAAGCCAATAACTCACAGATGGTCGTCTTCATATGAAATTATGTTCATCAACGCTTTAGTTCTTTGTCAGCTCCCCATTCTTACAAGATATATGACTCTGTGTTACCTATCACAAGATAAGTAATTCCTTCTATCTATCTATCAACAGTCAACCGTCAGCAGTATGCACCAGTCAGGGTTCGAACCCAGGACGTTCTGGTTACAAGGTGAGCTTGTAGACCATTAAGCAACTGGGAGATGATTCAGTGATCCACGAATTCTAATTGATTCTTGCATCGATCTCCGTGGACAGGGTCGAGAATATTAACCCGATTCCCTTTCGATACAGAGGGCTGCGTTGCAACAATACAATTTAGCTGTAATACTAACAAAGCCCGCAAGCGGACAATGTCAGACATCCCGTCTCTGTTTCGATTCACCAGATCACTTAGGACCGCCTGACCCGTGGCCAAATGCTATTCCCATGGAACCCTTCTCCAATTCGGTCTTCAAGGTTTTCACGTGAATATTTGATACTACCACCAAGATCTGCGCCTGTGGTTGATTCACCTAGGCCTACTCCTGAGGCTTCCCGTTAGCCAGAGCGACCCTCCTACTCGTCGCCGCCACTCCATGCCTGGACCAAGTTAGTTTGCCCTGACCCTGTTTAGGACCATCCTGCAGCAGCGGTACAGTATAGGTCCAACGCCCGAGTGCCATCAATTTTCAGGGCTGGTTGATTCGGCAGGTGAGTTGTTACACACCGCTTGGCGGTTTAAGATTTCTATGACCACCGTCCTGCTGTCTGGACCAACCAACACATTTTGTGGTATCTCATGAGCGTCACGTTTGGCACCTTAACACACATTTGGTTCATCCCACAGCGCCAGTTCTGCTTACCAAAAATGGACCACTTGCCACTCTATTTAAGCGAGTTAAGCTTCTCACCTATTTAAAGTTTGAAATAGGTTGAGGATGTTTCCTCACTAATGCATCAAATCATTCATTTTACCGGATAAAACTGTTTATATCTCAGAATGCCAGGGAAAACTGCCTAGGGAAATCTTCGGAGGGAACCAGCTACTAGATAATTTGATTAGTCTTTCGTCTCTATACTCACGTTACACGATTGATTTGCACGTCAGAATCGCCACTGTCCTCCACCAGAGTTTCATCTGGCTTCAACCTTTGCCAACATTCTTAAAACACTAGACTTCATTGCTTCATATTTGAAAGATGAATTGAAATTTTGTTCTGACTAGGATCAACTTATCGGTCTTTACATCCGGTCACTTCCTCGTATGTGGAAATGAAAGAATCCTGTCTGAGTGGCTCATTTATAAACACCTGAAGTACTACATAGTTGAATTTCAAATGAATCGTCAGTCTTCACACAGTAAAAGAGAATGTATAGCATATTTCAAAATCATTTTTGCTTTCACATCTGGTAGAACAACAAAAATATTATTTAGTGTCATTTATTTGAAATTTTGTTTACTTAGTTTCACTTGGAAAATCCCCATTACTTACACGACAAAGGATGGGTCAGCGAAAGAAATCATATGGATGAACAACGGTAAGTATGCTGTACTGTGTGCTTTATGAATACGTGTAATGGTCACAAGTTCAGCGAAACAGTCTATCACCTGTCTAACTACCCACCCACCTGTTCGTCACTTTTTATTCAAATTCCACTCCACGGCCTGGTATGTGACGTCTGCGAATCCTTCTTTAGTGCACGTTCAATCCACCTGCATTTCCCTCTGAATATTTGTTGGACAGTAGGTTCTTGGTTGGTTCACCTCTCACGAAGAGACCGTTGTTGCTTAGCCTTTCTGGTCAGCCATCTGGTCTTCATTGTTCAGTAAAGGCAGGTGTTGATGAAAGCCTGCAGTGGTCTCTTGAAGATACCTGCGGTGGCGCGCCAATCAGTAGACCACAGAGAAGTACTGACTTGGCATCACTGTTAAAAATCCAGATGTTGCTTTTTGTGCTAAGTGTCTGTTAGTGCATGTCTGTCTGTGTATGATAATAATAATAATAATAATAATAATGATTTACTTTATTCCAAAAACAGTACTTGTGATACAGAATGGAATTTTCAGCATTAATCACAATATTGCATCTAATTTCCTCAAATTATAAATAAAATTAATCACACAGAAAATTTTTCACATTTACAATAGAGGTAGTGTTAAAAATATGCAGCATATAAAATGGAAATAGCAATAATAATGATAACAGCTAGGGTAATAATAATAAGAATACAAGTGAAAATTGCCGTTGGCTTGTGCCACACAGTATTGTCAATGTGGTATAGAAATCCTAACATGTTTAAAAATATTGAATATAATGTTCTTTCTACATGATATGGTGAAGGAAAAAACATAGGTTACAGCCGTCATGGAGATAAGTTGGTGTTTGCAATTATGAGAGTAAAACAGAGAATTAACAGGACCATAAATATAATAGAAGTAATAAAAGTAAAACTTGAAGGTATGTAAGGATGGATGGAGGAAATTGTTTATTTACTAGATGAAAGAAGGTTAGTTAATTCTTGCCTGACACTATTTTCATCACATAAAATACATGCCAAGTATGGTATCATAGAATTTCTATACTTAGACGTGCGAGCATACAGTTTTCTGAAGTTACTCCTTGTTCTACCTGAGGAGATGCAAGGTGAAAGCTGAGGGTAAAGCGGATGCTCCAAGTCAGACAAAATCCCTTTAGCAAATTTATTGCACGAAGTCAAATGCCTATCGACAACGACGTTAACTATGTGGTCCACTGGGACACCACTCACTCTACTGACAGTCTTCAGTATTCTACGAATTGTGACATAGTCTTTTTTAAGCAAACCAGGAAAGAATAAGGGTGAGCAATAAAGAAGAATAGGTAGGATGCAAGAGTTTACGAACTGTAGGATGAGGGGTTGAGTTATACCCGAGTGTCTTAACTTCTTAATGTAAAATGTCAAGCGGAATATTTTACTGGAGATTGCTAAGACATGGGAAGACCAGGAGAGATCAGAAGAGA